ACTCAAAAAGCAACCTTCCAAGATTAGGGTTGTCATATTCTAATATTCTAAAAGGGCAAGATGGATGGATGGCATCCTTGAAGTGACTGGACTGACCTTGAAGGAGCTGGGGGTGGTGACAGTCGACAGGGAGCTCTGGCATGGGCTGGTCCATGAGGTCACGAAGAGTCAGAGACAACTGAACGAATGAACAACAACAACAATTCTAATTTCTCAAATCTGGCATAGTTCACATATTATTTAAATATCTTCAAAATGTGAATAAGAGACATTATGCTTGTTTTCATAGGGAGTAGTACTTTGGACAGGTCCTTCAAAATTTGGGCTAAAACACAGATTTGGTGTCCCCACGACTTGCAAGCTACCAGCAACTCTTGGCATTTACACTGTAGAATTAATCCAGTTTGACACCATTTAAACGGCCATGTCTCTACTCCATGTAGTTTGGAGAGGCACCAACACTGTTTGGCAGAGAAGGCTAAAAGTTTTGTAAAACTAAAACTCCCATGATTCCATGTCATTGAGCCCTGGAAGTGAAATTGGTGTCAAATTGGATTAATCCTATAGTGTAGATTCATCTAAGGTCTGCCGAAATTTTTATATTAAGGAAGCTATGTGAGCTATGACCAGTGTCCTGTTGATCTCCATTCAGTGACACCTCCCAACCTTTTAGAAATAGTTTTTATATCCATATCACCTAAATACTGCATCTTGCCACATTTCCCCAGCCTTGAAGAGCTTGAGTGAACAGAGAAAGACATCTGAATTGTGTGGAATGTTATCTTCTTTATCTCTACAAATAGACAGGGACCATTTTATGAATTTAAGAAATGTAACAATCCTCAGTGACAGTGGATTCGCCCTTGCCCCAAATAGATTGGGCTTCAGAAGGTGATGGTCTTTCAACATTTGTGGAAGGAGCAGATAAAGAGTCGTGTTCTTCAATCTAAAGCTACACAAAGATAGAGGAAAACAGAGCAGGATAAAACTGATGGCTGGATATGAAGGTCTGTACAAGTTGTTCCTGGGCACCAGCTCAGTTCTGTCCTGAATTCACATTGGAGGCTATTTGCTTATGGATACAGGTGTGCTTTCTATGTTCTGCTTATGTATTTGATCATGAAAGAAATATTAGAAGACATCTCCAGTCTGGGGAATTTGAGCAAATCAAATCAAATCTTGTAGCACAAGTCTGGAACTTCTGACAGCTTGGGTAAAATATTTTGCTTTGAGGTTAAAGCAGCCATTATGCGTAAATCATTAAACCAGGCAAATTTCTTCTCTTTACTCTGAATAGCTCAAATTGCTGATCTCCAATATAGATTACCAATTTTTTCCAGACAGCATTCTGCATCTTTATAGAAGCATAAAAGTGCAGTCTGAGTATCCTGTACCTGAAATGCTTGCAGCCAGAAGCATTTTGGGTTTTAGAATACTTATATTTGCATATATCATACAGTAGGTGCATTATTATTGTTATTATTATTATTATAGCGAAACGTCAGGAAAAAAACCCTACAACAACCCATTATTATTATTATTATTATTATTATTATTATTATCATTAAGACATGTCTTGGAGAAGGGACCAAAGTCTAAACAAGAAATTCACTTCATTTTCATTTATATCTTAGATACATAGATCGGAATTTTACACTCCCTATTTTTATTCATTTTGGACATGAAAGGAAGTTTGTGTACATTTAACTCATAGAAAGCAAAGATGTCACCATCTCAATCACCCATGTCAACAATTTTGGAATATTTTATATTTCAGAATGCCAGATAAGAAATACTCAATCCATATATTATTCTCTCTTTAGTCGTAATCCGCCCTATCTCCTCAAGGGGACTCAGGGAGGATTACAGTACACATATATGGCAAACATTCAATGCTGTTATACAATTAACAAAGACAAACAGTACATAAACAGAGGTAAAGGCTTCCCATCTTTTTCCATCTCCGGCCTCTGGAGGCAGTGCTTGGCTTCGGCCACGGGGGGGGGGGGGCTGTCGTTCCATCTTCCGTGCCGAGGAGCTTTGTTGTCTTTAGACACTCTCATGGTCGAATCGCCGGCATATCTGAATGGGCGCCTTTTATTACCTCCCCGTCAAAGCAGTACCTACTCACTGTTTTCGAACTGCTAGTTGAGCAGAAGCTGGGCTGATGGTTGGAAGCTCACATCAACCTGGGTTTTAACTGTCACTCTTTCGATTGGCAAGATTTTCTGCAGCTAGTGGTTTAACCCGCTGGCTAAAGCCCAACCCTAGAAAGAAAATACTAGAAAGAAAACCTCAATATAAGATATATCTTATATTACTTATAAAACTCTCTAAAATTCTGCCAATACAAAGAAATTTTAAAACATAAAAAATCAGAATTAAAATTGATTGAGCAAAGCTGAGCACCTAAACCACTCCTCTATACTTTCCAGTTAGTCAAGATAGCCGGACAGTTGGCCTGTTGTGACTCTTAGGCCCCATCTACTTTACACAGCCATATAAAATCCAGATTATCTGCTTTGAACTGGATTATATTAATATACACTGCCATATAATCCAGTTCAAAGTAGATAATCTGGATTTTATATGGCAGTGTAGATGGGACCTTTGGAGCCTTCCACATACTCCTTTATCCCAGAATATCAAGGCAGAAAATCCCACAATATCTGCTTTGTACTGGGTTCTCTGAGTCTACACTCAAATAATGTAGGATTTCCTGCCTTGATATTCTGGAATATAGGGCTGTGTGGAAGGGTCTTTAAAGAAATAAAGCTTGCCTTGAACACAATGGTAACTGTGCAATTGGGTTATAATACATTGGAGAGATATCTCAGCACCAGACTGTAGAAGAAAAAGAACTGTCATTTTAAAAATTATCTTCCTGACCTGTCTTCGATATATTGATGCAGAAATAGAATAGGAAATATACTGCGCCCAAGAGTAATCTTGTGCTGCCAGCTGCAGAACCCTTTCATTTTCTTTGACTTGCAGTTCAAAGAAAACAGTGGTCTTTTTATACAGGTCTCTATTTATTATGCCTTGAGTCTATCAAAGGGATATCTAAACAGTCTATTTGTGTCACCACCCTGAAATCCCATACTGCTATGTATGAATGTTAGCACAGAAGTGAAAAGGTTCGGTTTTCAGTTCAGCAATCATTATCTCCACACACTTCTCTAGTTTCTGGAAGGGAATGTCTTTTCCTTAGATCAATACACCTTAGATTAATACATAGAAACCAGAGTCTAGGAATAGTTGTTTGTTTTTCATACTTCTCCATAAAATTGCATGATATTGTCATGTATCCTGGGTCTTTAAAGGTCTCCTGTATTTAATAATAATGCAGCTCCTTAGTTTTTTTTTAAATCATGGAACACCACAACTCTACAATATCCTCTTCCCTTTAACCTTTTATTCTGATAGCCCTTATCTGTTGCTGTTTCCACTTGAGAACACAGAAAAGTTACACATGGAAACCAGTGATATCTTAAGGTTAAGGTAAAGGTTTCCCCTGACATTAAGTCTAGTCATATCCAGGCCCGTAGCCAGGATTTGGTTGGGGGGGGGTGTGTGAAATTTTTTCAGGGGGGGTTTCGGGGGGGGGCTGAGTCTGAGTGAAAGAGGGTCTACCCTAGCAAACCTTTTGTATCATTACCCCAGTACCCCCATGCATATGGGATATATTGAGTATGGTGATCAGATCATGATATGAATAAACATAACAGTTTAAATAATGCACCAGTAAGGCCTTTTCGCGAACCACCATGAGAATTTCGGGGGGGGGGGCTGTATCCCCTCAACCCCCCCCCCCCGGCTACATGCCTGGTCATATCCAACTCTGGGGGGTGGTGTTTATCTCAATTTCTAAGCTGAAGAGCCTTCGTTGTCCTTAGACACCTCCAAGGTCATGTGGTCAGCATGACTGCATGGAGTGCCATTACCTTCCAGCAGAAGCGGTACGTCTTGATCTCACATTTGCATGTTTCCAAACTAGGTTGGCAGGTGCTGGGGCTAACAGCGGGAGCTCACCCCTACTCTCCAGATTCTAACTGCTGACCTTTTGGTCAGCAAGTCTAAGAGCTCAGCGGTTTAACCAGCTGCACCACCAGGGATATTTTAACCTCTCATAAAATTCTGTTAAAGGGCAACTGCGGAACAGAATCCATGCTGAAAACGGAAAACATCTGGAGTTACTCTATCCTACATATTACTGGCATCTAGTCCACTAAGATACACATTTCACCTGTTTGGGAGTTAGGAATAGGAACTTCTTGTAGCATGTTTTAGCACTGCCTGAGACAGATTGCAAAAGGTAGTGATTTTCAGCCTTGAATGAAAACAAAAGATGCATTATGGTTTTTTTTTTTTTAAAAAAAAACAACCCATATCTCTATATAATAAGTACCCCCCCCCCCCCCCAAGAAAAACAACCACAAAGAAAAACTACCACACAGGGAAATCTACTCTCTGTGGCAATTAAGTGCAAAGCAATCTTGGAGCAACAAAAGTTTGCTAGAGGAGGGAAAGCGAAAACTGGACAAATGATTACACCTGGTATACCAAGGTGGGGCATGCAACTTGAGAAGCAATGACAGGAGGGGCTCTGGAGTGGCTGAGTGACAGCACAGAGAGAAGGCAGTTCTCTGCTCCCTTTGAGAGGTTTTAGTGTGCCACAGACAACATTTACTTCAAACTCAGAAGGACAAAAATCTGACAAGAGAGACAGTCCAACTAGTTGCATTTTTCCTCTTATTCTGCTGGAAACCCAACCATCGGTGGTGCTAACTGTAAAGAAGAAGGAATTTATAGTCTGGTTTTTGAGTAGTGAAGCAGGCAGAGAGCTTCCATTCTTGGTAATTGGCCTGGGAACCCTGCAATAATATTCACCACAAAGAAGAGCTGTTGAACCCCTCGAAAGACCATCCATCATCATCAGCCAAAAACACTCTTTGGAAGCATTCCATGTTTCTCAGAAATCTCCAGCAAAGGCAACAGCTTCCATCCAGCCTGCAAGGTGGAGGAGAAGCATAGCATTAACAAAACATCTTAAGGTGGCACTTGGGGACTTCGACTAGAAGCATCCAAGCATCACTTCCTTCAAATCACCAAGGTACGATGGCGGCTTTGCTCAAGCTTTTTCTCATGGCTTTCAGCTTTGTCTTCTGGGCAGCAGGCCTAACAATGCTGATTATTGGTATTTGGGCTAAACTTTCACTGGAGAACTACTTGGTGTTGTCCACCAATGAATATCCCAATACCCCTTTCATTTTATTGACTACAGGCACTGCTGTCATTGTCTGGGGCTTTTTGGGTTGCTACAGTGCTGCCACTGAACACCGTTGTCTCTTGCGCACTTATGGGAGTTTTCAGCTGGCTGTGCTGGTGGCTGGCGTAGCAGTGGGGCTCTCCAGTTTGCTTTATCGCAAGGATATTGCCGAAGGCTTCCAGAATGGGCTATGGGAAGCCATACATTCCTATACTGAGGATGAAGGGAAGGCAGAAGTGTTGGATGCTATTCAACGCTCCTTGAACTGCTGTGGAGTCGAGAGTTACCGCGACTGGTTTTTTTCACCCTGGTCGATGGAAAAATCAACGCCCAACAACTCAGTGCCCATGAGTTGTTGCAGGGCACGCAAAGGTTGCCTGCACAGTCCTCTCCCTTCAGATGCCTGGGGTGTTAACCATGATGGATGCTTCAGCAAGGTCTCTCATTTTGTCAGTGATAATATGTTCTACATTGCCACAGCTGGACTTGGGGTAGCCATCATGCAGGTAGTAGGTATTATCCTGACTGGCCTGCTGGCTGCTCGAATCCCATCACATGCAGGGCCACCAGGTGGTGGTGTTCCACATTCAATCTGATGACTTCACTACTAGGATGAACAGCACTGAGATCTTTCCTTCTCCTCTCATTTAAAGGTACTGCATTCTCTTCCATCCCTCTTCCATCTGCAATCATCCTCTCTTCAAAGGCACGAGACCAAAACTTCAAGTCACATTTATCTAATACTAGCTTGGAGATTCGGCGGCGCCCAGATTATTTGAAAAAGGCATTGTTTGTTTTGGGGTGTTAGGTAATATCATTTAGTTAATTAATAACACGTTTTATTAGGAAAAAACAGTCTTTTCTGTTGGTTTTTTAAAAAATGAATGCTTCCGTTAGAAAATGCATAAGGGTGTGGGAGAACTGCAATTCCCAAAATCGTGGGTCATTCACCCTCAAACCCTGCCTGTATGCACAGTTGGCCATGTTAGGTCTGCCAAGTTTGGTCCAGATCTGACATCAGCTGGGTTCAGTGCTCTCTAGATGTGGGTGAACTACAACTCCCAGATCAAATGTGATTCACTCACAAACCCTGCCTATATACACAGCAGGCCATGTTGGGTCTGTGTGTCAAGTTTGGTCCAGATCTGATGTCGGCTGGGTTCAGTGTTTGTGAATAAGGGTGAACTACAACTCTCAAAATCATGGTCCATTCCCAACAACTCCTATTAATCATGGTGAATTCTTCCCAAATCTCTTGTTCAGTTGCTGATCAATTCCTGTTCGCTGTGTGCCATAGGAAAGGGTTAAGGGAGAGGCAGTAGGCTAGCACATGCAAATTCCACACCAATGGAGAGTGTGAGGAATCCTGGGATGTCCATTCTGAAGGAAAAACAGAACATCTAGGATGACATTGTCCCTGAATGAAAGCCTTCACTTGGGTGGTGGGCAGTATGGTGTTTGGGGAGGACATTGGCAAGGGTTGGACTTGGAACACATGTTCATGGTGCCTGCTGTAACCTGAAATGTCCTTGGAGGGAGTGCCTTTGGTGGCTCCCCAGCACTGTGGGTTAAAGCTGTTTGTGGAGGCGGGAGGCTTTCTGTGTAAGTGGACACCTCCGCCACATACACACATTTTCACTTTTATTATGTGTGTAGTTTTAGTTCCATCAAATATTCACTTCCATTGCATACTTCTAATGGCAACTTAGTGTCTTGCTGCTTCATTGCCTTCCTTCACCCTGCTGTTTGTGCTGCTCTGCAAGTGAACCGCTATGTGACTCCCCTTTTAGTTTCCTCGAGACTACTGGAATGACAGCAAGGCTATAATTCAGCCTGTCTTTTGTTCTCTTCCACGAATGAAAAAGGAAATATTTTCCACCTGCAAAGATGTCCTCAATTTGGGTGCTACTTAAAGCCACTCTCTCATATCAGTGGGAGAGAACAACAAATCCCTCTCTTTTCTTGAGGCAGCTGGTGATGCCTTTCTTGACTTTCTGGAGGAGAAAAGTAATTAAGGGCCATAAGTGTGAAAAAATTTTTAAATCTTAAGAAAGAAGCCAGTGTTTTTTGCAATCTGTTTGCTGGCCATGAAAGACCAGATGAAGTGAGGTATATTTCCTTATGATGTAAGATAGCCTTGATGTTTCATGAAGAAGCTTATCTTGAAAAATAATTAGCAATTGCAGCTTTCAGGCTTATGAAAGAGAAGCTCAAAGGCTCCTTTGTACATTCTCATTGTATAGAAAACTTGTGAAAATCTGTCAAACTATAAGGGATAAAATCTGTCAAAGCCTTTAACAATACATTAAACTATAAGGGATTTTTCTCTCTCCAGATGTCTACTGCTGCCAGAAACATTATACATGGACTTTTACCCTTGATGGAGCAATGCCTCTCTGTGTGTTTTTCCCTATTCAGGAACTGTATATTTTGCATGTTTTAAATGAGAAAAAGACCTATATGGTTATTGTTAGGCTTTGCCATTTTCTAGGTATGCTAATTTTATCCAATTCATCCACAGTCTTATTTGGTAGCTATCCAGTTTAGTTGCAATAAACATTAGCAGTCGTAGGTTGAAGCTGGGGGCAAAAATGCCACGAAACGACAGGTACCCAATGGCCTGTGAAAAATAATGTGGAAAAGATGGTTTCTTTTTACAAAAAAGAATACATCAAAACAAAGAGAGTTGAATAGCTGGGAGACTGGAAGGCAGTCTATACTGAATGTGAACAGCCGCCTTCTGACAATCCTCTTGAACCTTCATAGTCCAGATGTAGTAGTACCAGAGAACCGGAGCTTCAGTATCCCTGGGGCAAAGTAATTATTAAAAGCCAAAACAAGGAGAATTTATCCCAGGATACTTCTAGCAGTAACTGTTGGAAGCACTCTAATCAAGCATAACCTGGAAATCAGTAATTATCCTACAGATAGCAAACTATGAGCTGTTACATAACACATTTTTTATCTATGCACAAAGAATAAACAGTACAAGCATCATACTTGCAGGGGACTTATTGTAGAAATGAAATAATAATGAACCCTATTGTTATGGCTCCCGGTAGGGCAGCGGTTTAAACCGCTAAGCTGCTGAACTTGCTGACCTTAAGGTCAGTGGTTCAAATCCAGGGAATGGGGTGAGCTCCCACTGTTAGCCCCAGTTTTTGCCATCCTAGCAGTTTGAAAGCATTCAAATGTGAGATCAATAGGTACCGCTCTGGCAGGAAGGTAATGGCATTCCATGCAGTCATGCCGGCCACATGACCTTGGAGGCATCTACAGACAGTGCCAGCTCTTCAGCTTAGAAATGGAGATGACCTCAACCTTGAAAAGAAACATGGGTTCCCTTGGAACTGAAGAGACCAAAATCCACTAATTGCAGTAATGCAGTAATGCAAACGTATCTATGTGAATTCAATGTATACATACAAATACAAATGTAAATAAAACATAGGGTTGTTACATTCACATTAAACAGAAATAATTTGTTCTTTTCTTGAAAAATGAACACAAATGAAAAAAATCTTCACGTGAGCAGAAATAGTCCTTGTGTCTTTAGTACAGACGAGGAGACTACAGGTCCTTGCACAATGAATATCCTGTTTTTTTTATTACATAAGAGTAGACTCCAGCATTCACAGTAAGTGCCCTATTCTCTTTGTTACACAAGAGTAGACTCCAAAATTCAACCGGTTTCGATCAACAAGTCCTTGTTAAGTCAGTATACTCTGCAAGCACGTTTTATTCTGCATTCATACTCGCTACAGAATAAAATGTCTTTGCAGAGAATACTGACTAACAAGGACTTGTTGATCCACTTTTCAAGAACACTGTCAGTAGACCACTTGCCTCAAATTTTGAGCCTTTTTGATAAATGAACCCAACTACCTGATGAAGACTCCAGTGAGTCGAAACCGGTTGAATGTTGGACTTTACTCTCATGTAACAAAGAAAATAGGACACTTACTGTGAATGCTGGAGTCTACTCTTATGTAATAAAGAAAATAGGATATTCATTGTGCAAGGACTTGATGAGCACAACCCCCTAGAGTTGGACATGACTAGACTTAATATCAAGGGGAAACCTTTATCTTTACCAACTACTGCTCTGGGACCAGAGAGAACAGAGGGGCCAGGAAGACAGTTCCATCTTGTCTCCTGTGTCATCATTTGGGAGCTTCTTCCTCAGCACCAACTGCTGCTCTGGAACCAGAGTGAAGAGAGGGAGCCAGGAAGACAGTTCCACCTTGTCTCCTGCACTGTACTAATAATATAATACATTGTATATACATATAATATTGAAAATATTATAATGTAATATGATATGATACTAATAATAATACAATATTATAATTAGATATTTAATATTATATGTAATATTACTAATAATATTACAGTATAATTGTATAGTATAATATGCAATACTAATATTGTGCTATGGTGATAATATAATATATTGTAAGCCGCTCTGAGTCCCCTTCGGGGTGGGAAGGGTGGCATATAAATGTCGTAAATAAATAATAAATAAATACCTTTATATTTACCTATTAAAATGAATGACTTCTAGTGAAAGCATAGACTAGAGATATTGTTTTCCCAGACATGGGTAAGTAAAACCTTAGGTATTCATCCTGCAGATACAATGACCATACTGTACAGTTATTCTGGGAAGTTCATTACTTTTCTGAGATTTTAAACTAATATTTAAGCTTATGCATCAAAATGGAAAAGGAATATCTTTTCACCAACCATGGAACATATTTTCGTATGAGTGATAAGTCATATGGATGTCATATACTGCTTTCAGTTATGTATGAGTAGTTGCATTTATATTTTTATTTCTCTGTATTTAATATATTTTAACTCCCAAAGCACCAAGTCATAGAAATTAGCATGTGGGTGGGAGAGAAAAGCCTACACATATGAACAATGGTGGCCGCATTGAGAATAAATGGAGCAGATGCTAAGAAATTTCTCAGTGCGTGGAAAATGCTTATTTATTTGCATTGTTTAGAAATGGCCAAGGGGACAATAGCATTCATGGTCCTAAAGAATGTAAGATGTGATATATAATATCGGACTATATTACTGAAACTTGTAGATTCTTCTACAATTTTCGAGAGAAGTGTGAATTGATTGTATCTCTTTATGGAGTGTGCACCTAGTGCCTGAATTGTGTGAGGCTGTTTATTAAAAGTTACCTGTATTTATCTGTTGTGTTCTCTTCCTCAGGAGTGGCTGGGAGAAGATCAATAAATACTTTTACTAAATAATAAATAGCTTCAGCAGTGTTTACTAGCAAAGTCCCGTTAAAGCAGTCTTTCTCAATCTGTGCTCCTCCCGGTGTTTGGACTTCAGCTCCCAGAAATCCCAGCCAGTTTACCAGCTGTTAGGAATAGTGGGAGCTGAAGTCCAAAACATCTGGAGGAGCACAGTTTGAGAAATACTGCATGAAAGGAATCTTATTAATAACTTTCAGTGTTATGAGTGAGATTTATAGTTGCATATCTGTTCCTCATTCACATTTATGACCACAATATCATTGCCGTGATTGCAAATACTCCTGAAGCCCATCTTAAAAGCCAGTTAGCCATTCCGA